TTCCCAGCATGTGGAACTGAGCAGATGCGTATGTTCAATAATATTGAAAAGGGCAGCTGGATGATTGACATCTGTGATATTAGAGCCCTGGAGGACTCAGTGATGTGGACTCGATAAGCACTGCCATCCCACTCCAACCGTGTTGGTTTACCAAAGCTTGCCAGCATTTATCTGCATTGAACTGGAGTGAAAGTGCTGAATTCTGCTGCGGCCATCGCCTGGCTTGACCTCTGCTCCTTTTACATCGGGACGCCACTTAAGTTTGGCTTCATGAATAAAGCTGACAGGGTGAGCTGTCTCTGTGACACCAGGGTTCTACAGGAGAGCTCTCCATGCCCTGGTGTCATGACTGCAGTGCAGTAACGTCACTTTGAAGAACGTGCAGGGCCTCCACAGGTCCTCCAGCACTTACGAAACTTCACACACTGAAGGGTAATATGCTAACTTTCCCAGACAAATGCTGGCTAAAGGAAGGGAGTCTGCACAGTGATGTCCCCAAACGTCCTCTGCTCAACCACAACTTCAGGCTTCCCAACTCAGGTATACTGGTTTCGGTGGATGAGGGACAACCGGAGCTTTGCTAGTTGTATTGTATACCACGGTATTTTCGTTGGAAACCATCACCCCATCTGCTTGACAAATTTGGAAAATACTGAAATACTGTTGTTTTTTAAAATACCGTCAAAGTATTATATACTGAGATAAAAGGTGTAGACTGTATGATGGAATTAAAAGTGAAGTATCGCTGAAGCCTAGTGCTCGCTGGGGGGGAGTGTTGGGGAGCCAGCAGTAACATTTATCCACTGGGTGCGGTACAGTTGTGGCGGTAAAACTTCTTGTCTGCAAATTTTCCCACTGCAGTGCTGGACAGTGGAATGATAGATTTCCAGTGCACTGCACATCATTTATGGGTGTCATGGAGCTGCTGTCAATTTATCTGAGACTCTGAACTTCCAGGAAAGCTGGTGTGTCTGAAACTTACTGTACCATTCAGGTTTGTAATCAAGAAACGGAGAATTCTCTTCACCCGTGCTTCCTGCTGGACCTGGCCTGGGGATTGGACTGCTTGCTAAGGTTGAGTAACAGAGGTGGATTTCTGGCAAATCTGGCTTAAGCTGCATCCTGGGCTATTTACCAAAAGGCCCCAAGAACACCAACTGAGTTACGCTAACTTCAGAATGTGAGCCGATTCACAGCCAAAACCTTCTGGGAGGAAAGTTGAGGTTGAGTGCGAATTAACAGGTTCACAGTTAGAGCCACATGGTGTTTGTGTTTTCTGAGACATGCAGTGCCCTGGTTGCCTGTTAAACAGACTCCCTCAGCCCTCTGACCATTGTAGACCAACTTTGACAGACTGTCTGTGACTGCACTCAAAGATATATTCATGGTGGTATCTACCTCTGAAATGTGAACCTATGGGAATCTCAGGAATCCCAGGGAGTTTGTTACATTTCATACATGTATCACTCCAAAGACACAGAATCATCAACCGGACACTGAGCAGTAAGATTTTTCCAGAAAGAGGCCACCTGCATTGGGCTTAAGCACACTGTGGCTCAGTCATGTTCTGTTCATGTACTGATGTTATTCATGTTTATATACTAATGGACCTGCACTCCTTCACACTTAACCAGAAGGCGCAATTCAAATTTTTACCTAACAACTGCATATTACAATAAATATTAATTTGCTTAATTTTTTAATAAATAACGAGGCCAGAAATTTCAATAAACTATATATTTTTTTTTATTATACGTATTTTAAGTAGTTTGCAAAATAGTACAAATACTTGAAAATCCCGACATTAAACGCTACCTGTGTAAACACTCAGCGAAAACTCCACATATTTATCTATTGAATTTACGTGTGGATTTCACTATTAGAAATTGAGGTTCGAATCCAAAATGCTTTCACTATAGGCCTATGCGTCACCAATACGTGCGGTTTAAAAAGAATATTTGGAGCGTAGGAAAATGTTCGGCGACCATTGTGCTCAGGTTAAATTCACGTGAAACCATGTTAATATAGGTCACGCCTAAGAGTAAACAACAATGTTTTGTTTCATGAATTGTTTAAAATCAGGCTTGGGATGATCGCTGTGTCTGGGAACACGGGTCTGGGTCCATACGCTGCAAACCTTTGTAACAAGTAGCTCCAAACAGACCTGAAAGCCTTCTCTTCGATCGATGATGGGCGGTAATTCATGATCCGACTGGATAAAACTGATTTTAAAAAGCATCAAGATGATCTCTTTATTCATTAGAATATTAATATAAGACGTATTGAAATAAAATTTGCTCCCTATTATACTAATATGGCTTTATTGGTGTCTTTGCTTGTAAAAGACACCAATCATTAGTATTCCCAGATGCCAAAGTCTATACGCAATGAAATGAGTCCATAAATATGACATACATATGATTAATGGAAGACGAGGCACAAGCCGAAGGCACCTTGACAAGACTTTCCTACATCTTCGCCTTCGGGTTATACAGTAACAAGGGAATTGTGTACATCCTTCAAAATTATCGTAAAACCATGTACATCCAAACCCCCCTTTTCCCCCCAGAAAATTACATAATCAAAAACCTGGTAACATAAACGAATATATCACATTTCCCAGGGGCTGCCAGTCAGATTGGATCAATAACCAAAATTTATATTAGCGGTAGGCTATAACTACAGCATCATCACTGCCACGTCGTGCCAGATAAAATGAATTCGAATTTATTAAAGCAAAGAAAAACAAGAAGCTACGCTTTCTTGGTCGATATGACGAATGATTTACGCATGGCATTTCACACACTAGGGGAGTGAACAGAATGTAGCATCTGCTCAATGGTAGAAGCCTTAAATCGGACCCGCTTCTTTAAAATGTCTAAGCATTCGGGCCTTTGATTTGCGTCTTGCGTTGCACTGTCGCTCTGGGGAAGCTTCCTTTTCTCACCGTATACTGTAATGTTAAAGGATAAGAAGAAACGCAGCTGACCGTATCGGACCAGGCTGCAGACCAAAGTCTTGCATCTTACATGTTCAGGTCATACTTTGGAAGCTATATAGAAGGATCTCGATAAACTTTTTGCGCGAACCAAGTCGCACTGACGACGCGCTTACTTTAAAATAAACACAGGAAAACGAAATTTATTCTTTCTTTATGCATGGTATGCATGACATATGGTATGCATGGCATATGGAAAAAATACGTATTGTGCAGACTATGGACAGACACGGCAAAAAGTAGCCTAATATTTTTTTCACTCTTTTCCTTTTTTATAAAAAAGAAAAAAAAGTAATCTTAAGTGCAGGTAAATTTCCCGAATGCCTTCAGTTTTTCAGATAACTTCATATTTTTTCTTTTTAAAACATAGGCCTAATAGATCCAGGGTTTTGTACCAGGTACTACGCTTAACCAAAATTAACCATTATACGACACATTCTCACGTTTGCTCCGATTTAGTCCTTAGGCAGATACACAATTAAAATACAAATAAATGTGTAATTAATTGTTCAAAATAGTCAGTGTAACATTGCTATGCAATATATCAGTCTGAATAAACTGAATTCTTTTAACTATTAAAGGCAATTCTTCCTCCCGCACTATAACTTCACTTTAAACATGCAGGTTTATATAATTTAGATAGTTTTGATCTTATTTGCGATGCAATCCCAGTGATTTACGAAACCATGGGTATTGTATAATTCATAACAATAACTGAAATGTTACATTTATTTAAAAATATTCATTTAGTGAAGTTAGTAAAACCTTTTATAAGATCGGTATTGAATGAAATGGCTATTAATTTTTGTAAATAAAAATTGACAAAAATATTAACAAAATCTAAGCTAACCAAGAAAATCCGTATATTCCGGAGGAAAGTCTTCCTATAAGAACTGCAGATAATCATTCTTAAACATTTATAGTAGGCTACATTTTGGATCTTTAAATTTGAACGAATATAAGACTTGTTATTTCTCACTGGAACACAAAATGTTAAATAATATATTATATAAGAATATAAGTATATATTCAATATAATACAAATACCTGGGAGTGCATCTGGATAACAAACTGGACTGGTCAGTTAACACTATGGCACTCTACAAGAAAGGACAGAGCAGGTTGCACCTTCTGAGAAGGCTCAGATCATTCAACATCTGTAATACCGTTCTTCAGATGTTTTACGAATCGGTTGTGGCGAGTGTTGTCTTTTATGCTGTGGTCTGTTGGGGCTGTAACATGAAAGCAGCAGACAGGAACAGACTGAATAAGGTAATTAAAAGGGCCGGATCTGTACTGGGCATGGATCTGGACTCTGTTGATGTTGTGGCAAGGAGGAGGATCCTGTCCAAAACACGCACAATCCTGAACAGTCCTTCTCACCCGCTATACAGAGTTCTCTCCGATCAAAGGAGCAATTTCAGCCAGAGACTGATTATGACCAGGTGTTCTACAGAGCGCCACAGGAGATCTTTTCTCCCAATGGCCATTAAAATATATAACTCTTCTTTGTAATGTTGTCAGTACGGGACTTGAACTATGTGTAGTTCCTGCTCAATAATAATATTTTACAGCACTACTGTTAACTAATGTTCCATGTGCAATATCTGACTATTACATTTGTGCAATATTTCTCCTTATCTACACGGCATTTCTAGTGCATTACTAAACGTGTGCTATATTTAATTTAAATTTTATTATATTTTACTTCTACTTATTGGTATTTTTCTTTAAATTTTTATATCTATATTTTTCCATTCTAATACTTTTTCCTATACTATTTCCTTTTTTTCCCTTTCTTCATAGCAACTGTATAACCAAGACAAAGCAATTTCCCTTTGGGATTAATAAAGTTCTTTGAATCTTGAATTGAATTGAATCTTGAAGAAAACTATATGGACATATCACGTTCACTTTCTTAATTTTGTGTGATGCACTTAAACATCACATATAAGTTATTCTACCATCACTGGAAGAGGCAACAACAGACAGTCAACATTTATGAAGTTACGCTTTTAATATAATACAATACGCGCATGGTTTGCAAATAATGGATTCGAATGCATACTTTTGGGCAATATGGTTCAATATGTAATGAAATACGCTCAGTCGTTCTGCATTTTAAAAATCAATTTCAACCGTGAACGGGTTCCTTTCTGGTATAATTAAGGCGTCTGTAACAGGAGGGAAGCGCCAATCAAAACGACACCCGGGGGTGAGGGGGGACTAGAGGCCGTCACGCATGGCTGCTCTCCCAGGCAGACGCGGATAAGTGTCTGACACAGCAGCGCAAGTGCCAGTCGCGACCAGACATCGCGCTGCGCGTTCTCGTTCCGCCGTGGACTGCGGCCGGCACTGGGCCAGATCTGCACCTGCCTCACAAAGCAGCATCCAGCGCTCGCGACCTGGAAAGAAGCCACATCCACAGGGTAGGTTGATTAAGTTTGTTCACTGTGTCATCGATACCTTAACGTATGCGTAGGTCTATTCGAGTAAAACACACATTTTAAATGTCAAGATCGCAACGAATATGTTTTATATAAATTAACATAAAGCAAAAAATAGAAAAATCTATCAAGTCAACAACTTTTCCTATGTTAGTCTCACGTCTAATGCTCAAATTTGTAAATTGATTTAAAATTTAAGTACCGACAAAGAAACATGATTTTATGAAACTTTATCGTCATATATGGATATAATATTTGATGTATAATATTAGTAGCCTATATGTTTTAAATGCTGATGGAAGATTTGAGAACAATGGAAACAATTGAATGGACCCAAAAGAGTGGAATCGAAAGAATTGCGCAAAGTGCAGTATAATTTAAATGCATTACTGTAGCTTAGAAAACGTTTGCACGACTGATTTTTTAATTATAGAAATAAGTAAGTTACTATGGTGATGCATTAATTCCAATATATATTATTTATCTCGTGCTGCGGCACAATAACTACTGCATGCATGAACACAGAGAAAACACAGTGTTTGGATACGTCTAAATGAAACACGACCTACACGCAAATTATAGCCGCAGAACGTTTTCGCGTCAACATGTTCCTTGCTTTCACAGGCTAAGCATGGAGCTCAGTTTCCTCCCTTGCGCTTTCTGGGATAATGACAGCAAATTTCAGCAACACCACCTGGCGGATGTCCTGACGAGTGTCCATGTGACGCGAGACCTTCCGCTCGGCGCGGCTTTCGGTCCCTGCGTCCTGCAGAACACCTTCTATGACACCATCGCTTTTATTGCCTTGAAATCCTGCGACAAAAGAAACAGATCATACGTTTTTCGGGTAAGTTCAATCCAATCTGATAGCTTGTTTATGAATGAACTGATGTACAGCTACGTTTCGACTTAGCCTACGTGTTATATTGGACTACACAATGTGAACAATAACTTGTTAGGCATATGTACATTATTTTTTCTTACATTAAAACACTAGCATGACGGATATATTAGTATTGCCAGACCCTATGTCATTTTGCAATGACTACCATTAACTTGAAGCCAAAGTTAATCATAGATTGTAATAACGACTTTGGCTCTGGCATTTAAACAGGTGGATACGGAGACAATGAACAATTCACCTCTGGCGTTATCCTGGTTACGATTTGTGCAAGCCGCTTGCAACAAAGATGAGCAAAACATGGAAGCGTATCTCAAAAACGGACAGTTGTATTTCCGGTCCCTGCGGAGCATTCGGAAAAACGAAGAACTACTGGTGTGGTATGGCGATGAACTCTCCCACTTGTTAGGATTTACCGACCTAAAACCTACTAATCCCAATAACGGTAAGCAGTGATCCTTCATCATCTTCCTTTAACTGTAATATAATTTTTAAACTGATGTGATAGGCCTATATCAGAATAGTTAATCCAGTAAGTCACACTTGGAATGAAGTACTATAAATAAAGTATAATAAAGCAATATGGTTTATTTATTGTGCAGGATTCAAGTGCATCAATTGCAGCCAGACCTTCAAGAACGAGTATCCCTATCTTGCGCACTGTCGATTCCTTTGTGCGCAAATGAAAAACGAATTTCCCCATCAAAAAACTCTGGAAGTAAAGCAGCAGCTACAGCACCGCGTCACCGACTTCCATAATATTGCCAGAGACCTGGAACACAAAAAATCCAGCACCAATGAAGACACCACCAACGTGGTGCAACTTCGAAAAAGGAAGTATGAAGAAAGCGAGAGCCCTCGGGCGAAGAAATCGGTCTTACTGGAAAAAAACAACATTTCTAATGCCAGTAACATTACGAATTTAACCATGGATATTTCTGCTGTTCCAGAGTTCGCTGTTTCTCTTATGAAGCTCAATGCAGACCGATGTCCATTTAAAAAGGACCTGGCAGGATACAAACAGAGTGCTTTCACCGAGGTTAAGAGGGTGAAGGAGAAGATTAAGACGGAAAAGGCAACGGATACAGTTAATGATATGGTGCACAACAGAACTGGACAGAGCCGCGTCGGGATAGATTCGAGTTTACAGTCATCGGGAAGCGCTTTTTCATTCGTTTTGCCGAAGGGTATCCGGGAGGCGCAGAAGAGCGCTTTCTGTAAACCTGACAAAAGGACAGTAAAGGACTCGGCAGCGCACCCGTCCCATACACTAAGCGGTTCCTCAGAGCGGCCGGAGGACATGTCAGAGACGATTACCTCCAAGACTTTATTGGGATACAGCAGTCTGATGGGTACCGCGTTGTTAAGCGGAGAGCCGGCTGGTGCGCAGTCGGTGTCCAGCAGTCATTACGCATACACACCAGAGTCATGGCCCCGGCCCGCTGGAGTGCATCTACAGACCGCGTCCCTTACACTGCTGCCGCCGACGCTCACCTCCTTCGGTGTTTCCGTGCAGAACTGGTGCGCCAAATGCAACTTGTCTTTCCGAATGACTTCAGACCTGGTGTTTCACATGCGGTCCCACCACAAAAAGGACTTCGCCGCAGAGTCGCAGATGAGGCGAAGGGAAGAGAAGCTGTCCTGCCCCATATGTCATGAGTACTTCCGAGAACGCCATCACCTGTCTCGTCATATGACATCTCACAGTTAGGGCGCTAACGAGAAACGAGCGCTGCGCATTTGCCCGAGAATGTCTGTACATACGACATTTTTGCATCTTTAGTTCAGTATTCCCACATGCATTCTTCATAAGTCAGTCCTGGTTTACTGAATACCGCTATATATATATATATATATATATATATATATATATATATATATATATATATATATATATATATATATACCGGAATAAAACGTTTAGTCCACATGGTGTGTGCATTTTATCTACGTTTAAATAAGTCCTTGTAAGTCCTAACAATGAAGTGTAACTTACGCAACGGGATATTTAAAATACTATGTAACCAATTTCTTACTGGGCTAGTGCGTCCGTTAGATGGCAGTAGAGGTACATTTAGTTGGCCTATGTCTGCAGTATCTGTATGTACTGGTGTGTTGTGTGGGTTTGCTGGTCATGCTGGAGACTACATACCCCTCAGAACTCTTCCTAGTGCCTTAAGAAACTCAGGGTTAAGCGTTTACCGTATAGCGCAGATTGGAAAATCTTAAGTTTACTGTTCATGCTGTATCGCATTTTTAATGAATGTTATCCATAGCACGTGAATTTCTTACGCTTAAGATTATTCGTAATCGTATTTCCATGAGTAATGATTTTCAACTTGACCTCCACTGCCTCAGTACAGTTTGGTATCCGCGGAAATGTAGAGCAGAACTGAACGACTTTTGGTGTTCACATGCCCTACTCTCTTCCAGTCTTTTTATCTTTTGTGTTCTCTTTTCAGATAGTTGGGTCAACAGTAGTAACTCTATCTATACAATTAAATATATTAAACCAGATTTCCCCATCTGTCTATCTTTATTTTACCAACCTTTTCTAGATGGTACTCGGTGTCTGACAGTAACAGATTCATTCAACAAGTTGTTCCCTCCTTTGTGCCCGTAGCCTCCAGGATAGGCTCCGGACCCCCACGTGACCCTGAATAGGACAAGCAGTTACAGAAAACGGAGGAATAATATGACTAAAATTTAAATCTGAACACTTCCACAAAATTATTTAGAAATGAAACTCCCTGTATTATATAGCTCCTCAATCAAGATCTTAGTGATCTGACATTTTCCTGGGAAGCACACAGTATATGGCAGGAAACAAAGAATTTTTGTTAATATTTTTAAAGATATTGCTAATGTTGTGTCTGACATCTGGAAGTACAATTCTAAGCAGTATTTGTAGCATCACTAAAACAACCCCCTGTGCTGAACCTTGCTGTGTGTTAAGCCATCTGCCTTTACATCCTTTTTATCTTGCATGCTACTTGTCCAGCGTCGGGTCACACTGACCAGTCATTGCACTGAATGCTTAATACAAATCATGTCTCTGATGCTGGAAAGGAAAAGTCTAAATTATTCCCTTTAGTTAAGGTTGCTGGGCTTAAGTATGGGTCACTGAATATAAAAGAGTGACATGGCTTAAAATGAATAAAGCCAAAGGTCAGACAGAAGTCAGGCACGCCGAGATTGTGCTGCAATGAAAAGCTGAAAAGAAGTGAGTGTTTCTATAGTAGAGAGAACAGCTCAATTCTAAACGGTTTACAAACAGGTGTTTGGTACATCCGGCAAGCCCTGCAGCATGCAGATTAAATGGAAAAGATCTCAGCAAGGTTTAGTAACTGCAGTGATCCAAAACTGAGCCTCAAGGTGTCCTTGAAAGTGGTCTGCATGCCATTTGGCATTCATATGAACTGCAAATAATGACTTCCCTGCGCATGTGGCCAACATACTGAAGCTGTATTTCAGGGGTGTCGTTAGGCCTAATTTAGGGGGGCTTTAGTCCCCTTAAAATGTTTCTTAGCCCCCCCAAATAACATGTATTTATTAGCTAAAGTCATGAATAGCTTTTTATATTATATATATAAGTTTGACATCACCCCCCCCCCAGTAAAGACTGAGCCCTCCCCCCATCCATTAATCTCTAACTATGCCTCTGCTGTATATAGCATATATAAGTATATGTATGCCTATGACCATAAATCCATTGACGACTGTGCCTTAACTTGCCCAGAATCAGGTGCCAACGTATTCCTAGGACATCCACTTTCTCCACTCTAATCAGCAGACTGCTTCCCATTAAAATGTAGTGCAGGTCATTTGAAGGCCCCACCAATTTCACTAATGATCTCATAAGCAATTGCCCTAAAAGCATAGATTGGGACTTGTTCTATACTTTATAAAAAGTTGATGATGTGTTTTTCATGTGATTTCATGAAACTGCAATTTCTTTGAATTATCACCACTCCTTCAGAGATCTATAATTTTTATTAATATCACGGACCATATCATGTTCCTTAAATACGCAGCAATCTCAGATAACATCTTTACAGGCATTATTAGTAATACCGAAGACGGCACCATTTCTTTGGCACAGTGAAGGAGTGCAGGTACAGTGCTCGCTAATACATATAGAGGGCGCTGTATACACATGATTCACTGGAGTCTGGGGAGAAAAATCCAGTTGGAAATGTGTGGTCAAACACTTTCTGTGAAAGGTTGTTTTTACCACAGTGAAGTCAACCAGCATGAAAACCGTAATTACAGTAATTAGATATTTACTACAACACTGTCCTATATAAGCATCTGCGAGATGGATGAATGGACATATTTATGACATTTACACCAGAATGTCAGCAGATAAAACATCGGTTTTAAATATTGTTCATTGATCACTATACGGATATTTCTGTTAACAGTTCTCTGTGTAAAGTTGGAGCCATTTGGGTTAATTGCAAAGCCTATAAACCTACCAGAATCAGGAAACCTTCACCTCGGCAAAATGCTGCTAGTATCTACACCGAGCATTCTGTTATTAATTTAAGCTAAAACAGACGTTATTTAAACACCGGAGTTGATGAGATTATATCTTGCCTGAAGGTCTTGAATCCGGCGCGGTAAGGTGAGTCACCTGAGCTTTTTAGAAATGCACAGAGGTCTACAGTGTTTGATTGTGTTCATAAGATTTGCGAGCCATTAATTGATCAGCCCTAATTTGGAAAACTAAATATTGTGCTTGGTGCGGTGGGAGGGGGCTGATTCATTGCCCATACATGTCAGAGCGATTCCCTTGGCGGCCGCAGGGCAGCTGCGGGGCATTTTCCTCCTCACGGATGATTGCCTCCAACATTAACGGCATGAGGCTGCCCACTGGAGCTGGACCAGAGCTGGCGAGGTAACATGGGTAAACTTTCGAACAGTACTACATCTTGTGCTGGAGCTCCCCCTGGTGGGCAGTTCAGTGATTTTTTTTCAGGGAAGAATGACAGGCCAACCAACGTGGGTCTGTATGTCCAAAATGCAGCAGAGGTTTATTTCACCCCATTGTGTGAATTCTGACTTTTACATCATGGGCATATGCAGCAATGAAAAAAAAATCCATTTGCAAGCCTGTCTGACATTTTAAACACTGTATGAATCTGTTCATTTGTGTATGGCAATTAAGACCATATGCAATAATATATTTTTGGTAGCAGAATATTTACATTCCTGTCCTGAAACTGTATTTATGCGTATGGGAGCGTGTGTGGGTGCAAAACAAAATAATGTTGCTATCTTTCACCACAGGAACCCAACTACAAAGAACCTGTCCTCTTTATGTTCTCTTGGTGCCCAGATGGACAGTGGGCAGATGTCCCCATTCCTCTCATGTTCTGCCAACATGGGTAACAGCCCCAGCAGGCACAGAATGAACAGATCTGCAGCTCAAACCCCGCGAAATTCAGCTGAAGGTCTTCACCTTCCAGCAAGTCTGTGTTTAGGAAAATGTCACAGCTTCAGATGGTCTTGCGCTTCTGTTTTCAGTCAAATTTGGACTGGAATACATGTAAACAATAAGCAAACCCCATTTGTTGCTACATTCCATATAAATGACTGTAGCAACTTCAGTTCTTCCAAAAAAGGAGCCTCCTGTTGTTTAGAGTTCTCCTTTGTATGCTTCCTTTTCTGCTGACATGTGAAGCTATCATGCAAAAACTGACTCTAGGACTGTTAACATGTGAACACATTCATGCGTCAATCATTTAACAAGAAGTTTAACAAGAAAACAAATTATGTGCAATTCTGTATCATTGCTTTAGGTTTTATTCATTATTTCTGATAACTACTTTCCTCATAATTTAAAACACACATAGAGCTGCTAAAATATATTTGCTAATTAAGAAAAAAAATAAAATACATATACTCAAAATACATAGAAAAATAGCTTTTCACAGAATGCCATTTTTTAGGTGGCACAAAATATTTTTTAAAAAAGTTCAAAAAGCTGAAATAATTAGGGAATTTTGAGAATAATTTTAGTAGTGAAATAGTATATAACTTTTTACAAAATAATACCATCAAAAAGGGTATTTAGTATGTACAGTGCAGAATAAACATGAGAATATGCAACTTAAATTATTCAAGATGACTGTGAATTTGCAACCTGTAAAGAATATGTCATACGGCTGGCTATTTGACACCACCAGAAGGTGGCGTGCTCTCATCGTTGGCTGCAGAGCTGTCACCCCACAGAAAGAAGAGACCAGAGTCCTCATTTAACTGTCATACCTTCCAGCACTGTTACCTGACAAGAAGCAGCATTGTTACTAATCGCAACCTTCTCAAACTCTCCGATTTCCACTGTTTTGCATTCATATACGTCTTAAGCTTTAAACAAATGCTTATTCACTTACTCATCTACGTTATAAATATCATATTATGATAGTCTTTACTTTCTATTCCGTATATCCAAATGAGCAGATACACCAGCTTGTGGATGACTGCGGATAACGTACCTGTTAGCAGTCTGCCCCAAAGAGGACTGTAAAATGCGGGACGGGAAGCGCCAGGTGGTGGGCGACAGCCCTGGACCACAGCCACCTGGCCCAGAAAGCAGCAACGATGGGAGAAATTAAGCTTCTAAACCTACATTGGGTGGGATTACGCCGCACTGCCAGTCACTGGCTGGAGAACCGCGAAGCGAGTAGATTAAACCAGACAGTGACTGACAACACGTGATAATCAAAGCTTCATTTTTCCAATCACTGGAAAGCAGAAGTCCATTCTGCCCAAGGTCTGCCCCCAGGGGGTTTGGGAATGGTGTCTCCCAGGCCTCTCTATCTGCAAGCACAGGTCTCCACAGACATGCCGGGGTAGACCTTCAGAACGACGTTGTGGCCCTCATCCAGGAAGAGCACGCTCAGGGGGTTCATCTTATCCGGCACGCAGCAGGGCTCCGGGATCCCAGAGGTGATGCCCACCGCCTTGACGATGCTCTGGATGGTGGCGTGGTTGGAAGGCCGCACCACCTGCGGGAGGGGGGGAGGGGCACAGTATTAGCGTGACCTGCTCCTGCTCCTCATGCTCCCTAAATGTGAAGCTTCATTTACAGTTTATGGCCGTTTTACTCTGGCTGTAGGGAAATCCATCAGTTTGATATGTCTGCTATATAACTTATACAGCTTCCTTTCCCATGATATATTCCATTTTAAATATCCTGCACTGAAAATCCATTTTAATAAATTACATTTTTCTGGATGGCATACAGAATTAATAGACTTGCACTTCACATGACTTCATACGTATATATTATAGCTGTTCAACGGAGCAAAGTCATAGTTTAACTGGCAATGTTCCTACAGCACAGTGAGAGCAACCTATTGAAAAGTAGCACACACTAGTAGACCCCAGTAGCCAGTATTTGTGGTTGAGGAAGTCCTAAAGGCTTCTTCCATATAAATTTGCGTTACATACCCCTGCCTGGACTGAGCATTTGGACGCTCACATGTAAACGGTCCAAAGGCTGACCTTAGACATAGGGAACTGGCAGGTCCCAGAGCAGTAGTAAGCATCAAACGATTTCGGGGACAGGATCCACTCGCTCCAGCCTATGTCGGCAAAGTCCACCTTCAGATAGCGTCGGAAGCAGCTACGAGGCTCATCCCACTGCCTCCGCCGGGCCTTCTTCATGGTCTTCTCGTCAAAGCTGAGCACTAGTGACTGGCTGCGTCCATTGCTCTCCTCTTGGCTCTTTCTCTTGCCAGTCTTCTTGGTCGGCTTTGGCTTCAACGTCAAGTAGGATCCCTCCCATAGGTCGAGTTTCATCGGAGCCTCGTACTCAACCTCTGGCAGCTCGTTATTGTCGATGGGGTCCTGAAAGTAGGTGTCCCTCTTGACCCGAGCGTCAGGAAATGAGTTAGGAGGCTCAGTGGGCTCTCCGGCAGTGAAGAAAGGGTCGTATCTCTGGAGGGTCTTGGCTACACTGTTGGGCTCCGAAATGGAGAGGTCGTTGGCATACACCAGAATGTACGGCAGGTTGGTGGAGGATGCCAGCTCCCCATATGCTCGGTAGTGTTCGCCGAGGTCAAACTCGGCCATGATGAAGCGCTCGTTCGTGTTTCGGACTCCTTTCAGGACATGTGAGATGTCCTTAACATGCCACGCCCCTCTCCGCTGCAGGACCAGCGTGAAGTTTGTCAGCAGGGCCCCAGGGCTGCCGTCTTGTAGGACTCTCCAGAGCAGCAGCTGGACAGGGGGCAGCAGGTGCTGGGGGCCACAATAGGGGCCCCTGGAACGTTTGCATGGCCACGCTCTCTGCCTCAGGCGCTTGCTGAAGAAGAAGTGGAACGTTGAAGACAGCACCACCTCTGATTCCTGGATGGACGTTAGGTTGAACTGGTACAACACCCTCTCCTCCACAATTTCTATGAAAAACACACCAAAATCAGTCATACATTATTACAATAATGCTCCAACTTCAGGGCTTAAATATCAAGGCAACTGTTCTGTGCATCAGATTTCTAGTGATTGTATACCTATGAATAGCTCCTGTTTGGAGCTGGGCATATGGAAATACTTATAGTTGGCCCCTGATGATTTCTGTACATTTTAAAATGTCTGATGGCATTAATAGGACCTAATCAAGCGGTTTAGTGTACTTCAGACTCTTGCGGAAACTTCAAAGTGATATTTCTTATGATCATGTTCTTTCTGCAATTATGGAACAATGACACAGTATTATGTGAAAGCCAGTATATTACAGAAGCTGACTTCATGGCTCTGGGATTAACCTTTCAAAAACACCATCCAGCAATAAAAGTCTGCTGAGAGCGTCTCTGTTGATCCTCCAGGGTGCCCCGCTAGCTGCGCGCACCCGAACACCAGTGTCCTGTAACCTCCTCGTTTTTCAGTGCGGCTGCTGCGTCGGGCTGAGTCGCATTAAGAAGATCCCTGCCTGGGATACTTCAGCCCACAGAAAGCTGGCCCTGAACTGAAGGACATCTTACAATTTAAAGTTTATATCATTTATATATTCCAGTTCTTATTCGTTTTTATTGTATTGTATGTGTTCTTATTTAAATATGTTGTCTTTTATGCGTACTATGCTAGGCTACTAGGTTAAGGAAAACTTCCCTAGTTTAATCACTAATATATTATTGCTCAATCAGTTGACCTTTGTAAAAATGTTTGTTTGTTTGTTTCTAGATTTATTTATTTATAACAGAGCGTTTCGGACCTCTAAATAGAACGAGATAAAATTGTGATTTTTAGATAAGCGGATTAAAGCTTTCGTATTAATGACGAGAATAAACAAATTTGAGGAATGAAAAGTGTGTAGAAGGTACGTGGGAAAGCGGAGGCGTTATTTTCAGAGTCTACAATTGACGCTAAACACAAATCAAAGTATAAAGCGGCAATCAGATAAGATGCACAGAATCATAAAACACTTAGACAATGCGAGTTTTATTTTAAGAACAACGGTAGGCCAATAGCCAGTCGTACATCTCACTCATATTATATGGCATTATCGTATTTAAAAATACCAGGAGGATCTTACAAAAGTTTTCAGAATTATAGTTACCATCATACTACAGTAGCTGCGTTGCCTTGAGCAGCAAAATACGATTTTTGGATTTTAAAGAATAAGAAGGTAAGCATATTGTAGAAATTACTTGGAGACTCTAACGGATGATAGGCTATTTTTTACGTATCCCAAATGAAGAGAAGCTGTGAATGCTCACCCGGAGTTGCTTTAAAGCTTCGGACAGTGTTTCCGTCGCCGGGGCTGTTGCGCTCCCTGTTGTACTTATCGTAAAGTTTAAACATGTGCACTGAAACCATATCCCGGGATGTGCTGGAGGCGATCTTGCCAGGGGAGGACTCGACCATCTCGCCTTGGGACGATCTTCTTGCGTCTTGATGATCAGATGCGTAAGATCCGAGGTAAGAATTGATGAGACATAATAACAGGTGCACCAGAATTATACCTGCCATTCCTAATACAACCGTTAGACGTTTTATAAAACCCCGGATCATTCACCAGAAACAAAAATAAGAAATCAGCTGTTGTGCTAGGGTTTGATTAAAACATGCCATTAAATCTTGACGCTCGTACTGATTAGCGTTAGTGTTCACAATTAATTTAATAAAGATGCTGTTCATGAATGCGCTCTTTTTTATGCAGCCTAATGCGGCTCCGTTGATACACTTGTTTCTTCTTACCGCCAGAAACCGGGAAGTAAGACTAAGGCAATGAAAGATGCTGACGTCTGCTGGTCTTAACCAACGAAATCCGTCGCTGCTGCACATAGTTCTCACTGGAAGCTGCGTCGGGGAAATGATCCCTATAATGGATTGGAGCTGGAATCAGCCCACGGGTCACGCGTGGATTTCTACGTGATGTGTGGACTTGCATTTATCGTCTTCGCTTCTCTGACAACAGTCCTGAGAACAACAGCATAATTATCATACGCAAGATACTGTGCGAAAAAGCGCAAAACTTTATTTTAGTAACCTTTAATACTTTTAGCTTTTTGATCTCCCTTATTGTCCAAACCTCGGTCGTCCATTATGAAGGCAGTTGAGTGCGTTATCTTTAATCCACTTTTATGGAGCATAGTGGTAGCCCTGAGAGTTTGTGCATTTATGTGCAAAACTTCTAATTGATTTTATTGCATTTCATTCGGTAGCCTATATATGCATGTTTTAATAACACATGGAAAAGTGTCTTTACTCGTGCATAACGAATTTATCTTGTTTGCATATTATTAGCAAAAACCATCACGAAATCTATCTCTCCACAAAGTGTGACAAAAGGCCGTTACTGTTCTGACACTGGAAAATATTCGCATATAGTGGCCCATTAATCGCAGGATTCACTGTGGGGCTGTTAGACGTTATTCATGGCTCTCTGTACGTGACCTCTGCCAGGGGAACGGTCGCACCTCGCCGGGTCGTTTTTGTTTTCCGTCTGCAGCGCTGCAGCACAATACTGGGGCTGTGAAAGACAGCGGCTCCAGCGGGGGCGGCACCAAGCTGAGCCGCTTGGGTCATTTTGCCATTAAACACCGTCCCATAGCTGGGGCCACCGAAGGCTCCTTTTCACTCTGTGCTTGTATCTGCCTTAAATCTGCTTTAAAACTCCCGAGACTTCGCCACTTTGACACGGTTACTAGCGACTCAAAGAGTAAATCAATCCCGAGGAAGATTTCTTTCTGTATTTTATTGTAGGTCCTCTGGCAGGCGAAGTAATTAAGACGTATGACGCCACTTTTTTGTTTGATGAGAATGTATGTAGGGAAGGAATTCGAATTAACTCTGGGTCACATAATTCCTTCTTCCTGAATCGAAGTAATCAATGGCATCTCTAAGGTACCTTTAAAAAATCCCGTTCATGCTGGACGCTATTGACCGCTGTGACCGGTATGCTGAGTTCTTGCCAAAATAATGATGATCATAAATAGCACAAGGCTCGACAGGGAAGATGAGCTCAGTGGGATTCACGCTTTCGGTGTTTTTGTCCGAAATTACAGAATAGCCCGCTGCTGCGCCCGTGTAAACCCGATTTGTTCGTGCTTGTGTGTTTGAGTTTTGGTTCATTCAGGATTTTTAAGAAGTTATGCGGCGAAAGAAACACATGGGGCTGCACCCTGGAAGGAACTGAGATTAGAAAAGTAACCATGATCCTCTGTTTGATTAATCACAATGGTCAAGGAATTCGTTAGGTTCAGCACATAATTACGGTGTTACACCAAAGAACGCAAAGGAATCTGGGAAATCCAGTGTGGGTTACCACAGCCCGGTAATATCAGTACATGTCAATATATAAATACCTTAAATACAGGACACGATGTCTGCCAAAAGCATGAAACACTGCGTGACTTGAACAGAGCGCTTGTGGGTCGTTCTAATAGAAGCTTAATTTATTTCTCTTAAGTTGAATAATAAGACCAATGCACTAACTAAAATTTGTTCATCCAATCATTTGAGTGAAAAATCACTTGAATAGCCTTCAAGCCACGATGGTAACTGCGAATGTGGCAGGGACGCGTATTTTATGTTATTGTGCGCAGTGGTGGAAATTTTTCATACTTAAATAGAAGTGCAGATACCACAGAAAAATGTTTCAAAGTAAAAGTCATGGAGTAAAAAAACTACTTAAGTAAAAGTAGAAAAAATGTTTTAAAAGTAGTCAAGTAAGAAATAATAGGCTCGCTGGCACAGACTAGTAGACTGACATTTTTATTCAGTGGAATACAAAAGATCAATCAATGGGCAACATTTAATAAACAGTATAAACATTTTGCAAGCCGGTACTTTTAGACTTCTTATAAGTGGTGAATGAGCCGACTCAAGCCTTCGTCTTCCAGTGGGAAAATTGCTGATTGTCCAATCCAGTCATCCCCATTGTTTCAGTAGTAGCTATAGTCCTTGTAACTTTGAATATTGAAAAAATTTAAATATCCGCCGGCAATTTCGGTATCTTAAGCGATAGGCTGATATCATGCATCTCTACGTATCTTTCTTCCATCTTCATAAAAACAATATGTAACGCAAAATAATAATAATAAAGGAATATATTGCTCAAGAATTGTCAAAGAAAATTGCGTTCTCGATTCTGAGTGAAAAAATTGTGATTCGTATAATTTAACCAGAATTGCGAAGCCCTACTCAGGTGCGCTGTAAGGTAAGTCAATACGGTCGTGCAGAATGAATCAGAGTAAAAAGTAGTTGTTTGGCTAAGAATTGCCGTGAGGTTAAAATAAAAGTTGCAACAACTTTTAATACTCAAGTACAAAAAAACCTACTTCGTAACAAAGTTTTTGTACTTCATTCCTTTACACCTCTGATTGAGCGCTAATTCATAGGCCCACTTAACATTTCCACGGAAGAACAGTTAAGAAAAACTGAGACGTTCTGTCAGCTGGAGTAATTAGGGTAATGGTGTGTGTAAATTTATTATTAAAAATATTTTAATAAATTATATCGGTTAACTGAATTTCACTTTAAACAGTATATTTCAAAATAATTAGCTATCGCTAATTTTCTGTGTTATTTCTATTATGTTATTTGTAAAACAATACCTTTATTGACAAGTAAGAAATAAATGGCAATGTATCTGCTGTATTCATTGGGCTAATCTGGTCTGGAAGTTTGTACATTTGCTTTATCAGAACTTGAATCTGCAATAATTAACTAATCTCACAGGAAAGTTTAGTTGAAAACCCTAAGTGTATGGTTCTGCTGATTTTCAATGTCACAACCATATTCTAACACATCGCCCATCCACCGTACTGCCTGATGACATTTACAAATTGACACTGAGGTGAACAGAAGAAGACTGTCACAGGTGGCCGTTTGTTATGCACTCTATCTGATAATGATAGTGGCACTGGGTGACAGGGGAAGTACATGAAATTAATTTCAATAAACAAATGGATATTTGTGTGACACTTCCCTTTACCTCAACCTGACATAACATAAAGAGGTTGGAGTGTTTAATGACAGTTAATAAATATCTTCATCTTTACTACAACAAGGTTTCTTTGTGTTTTCTACAAGTCTGACCTCAATAAAGGTCTTTTATGTCTGTTCTCATAGGAAAGGTGGGGGTTAAGTAAAATTCAAGAGATGTTTAATGTTTGTAGCAGAGCTGGTTAATCTTAAATTGAGCTACTCAGATACACAGATATGTCACACAATGGTCCATCTAAAGGATTAGTTTCTACTTGTATTTCTTGGGCAGCCATATATTTTCCTTCTTCTTACTCTGTATTTTTGCCTTTGAATGAAATGGAAAGTGCTAACGTGCATCTCTGGGCAGCCTCTTAGGCCAAGAAATGATTTAGCTTGGCTGCATAAATCATGCTGCTAAAGGCAGCTAGCCTGTCTGAAGTTAGCTTCCTGGGTCTACAATGACATGCTGTGTTAAAACACAAACACCTGCGATTCTCATAAAATAATAGACAAATCCAGAAGGATTGTGTAAATTTTCTTTCATCTTCCACTCTTGTTCTTTGGTCAATGCTCCTTTAATTACATGAAATGAAACAGAGTCCTCTCTCCGTCGCTGTTTGCAAACAAGTGGCGAATTTTAAGCCTTTTTCGGTGCAGATCAGCCTGTTCCCTCTGAGTTTGAAACAGTCCAGCTATCCAGTCAGAAGATCCCTCCATGCAGTTCTGAGCAGTCAGTAATCATCAGATAATCCCCCACCTCCCAGTGGAAGGTTTAAACCCATCATCCCTGTGCTGGATAATAACCCCCTACCTCTCCAGTATCCCTTGATCTACTTGTTCCTTTTTCTGTGGCTCCTCTTCCATCTTTGTGTACACCTTTAAAAGTGTACACATATCATGGTGCCCGCACACTGTAACTGCTGTTAGCTGGGCCAAGTAGCGTGATGTTATTTTAAGAGCCAACAGCAAGAGAGTCAGAAGGCAGCATAACCAAAGATTTCCATGTAGGAATCGTGCTTAGATCGCAGCTCTGCTGGAAATCAAGTTTGTGGCATGCGGGCCATGACAGGGTGGGGACTGGGCTTTCCCACTAAAATTAGGCCTGTTGAGTGCCGATGGAGCTGTGTGATGGAGAATAAGGTGAGGGGTGCAAGTGTGCAGGTTGGTGGCACTTGAGACCAAATCGAGATCAGATCATCACCAGATCTAGGAAACGTTTCATTAACTCTCTTGAGTCGTCTTCCACTTGGCCATGTCAGGCTGTGTGCACTCTGAGAACATTCTCTTAACAGAAAGGATATGGAGAAAGAGGAAGCCTGTTCAGAACACGTCACACGGATCTGAGCCGGACTGCTGAGGGGATTTAATTTATATGCTGACAGCTTGTATCTGGGACATTTAGCCGCCGACACATTTATTTTTCATGCACAGTTGCAGAAAGCAGGAATGTAGGTTCAAACCATCCTTGAAAGGAAACCTCAGCTTGCTGCCTCAATCACACGAGCGGTGCTGTAAACAGGAGCCCCTCAGGCCAGCGGGGGACCGGGAGAGCCGTGGCCGTATGAGTCAGCTGCCCCACGTCAGGAGAACTGCAGCATTTCGGTTGTGGAAGGAGCTTTCGCTTGTAGCCGTGTTGGACGATGGGGCCTTCAAGTCAAGGCGCTGGATTTAAGTTCCCATGGCTCCAACTTTTGAGGAGCATCAGGGTCCTTTATTGCACGGGTTTACCCGAGCTGAAGCCTAGAGCACCCCCTCCCCCCCCCCGATCAAGCACATATACCATCACCACTGTCCCACCCCATCCAATTCCAAAACTTTTATCATGATCATCCTGCCCCCCAAATTTACTGGGGGGGGGGGTGGTTTCTGGTGACTCAAATAGCCCAGGAGCGTCTGACTATGTCAATGTATCTCTGATGATCCTGTACCATCCACACACACATTGCTTCTCCTGGATCAGTCCTCAGATACCTCTAGAGGCCCTAGATACTACGACAAGCACGTTCAGCACGCTGACCTCAGGCGCCTGTCCGCTCTCTGCCTGCTTTTTTTACCTGCATGCCTCTTGATGGCTTCCTTTGAGGGTGTGGCCAATGAAAACACATTGGCTGCCAGCATGGGCTGCTCAGACTCACTGAGTGGGTTAAACACA